CTGAACCTTTACTGGGTACATCAATTGCATTTTGGAGTTCAGTCTTCAGAATATTAAGAAAATTAAGTACTGAAACTTTAGGGAGTGACTGAGAGATATATTAAAAAAACCCTTTTGGTGCTTAAACCCCAAGGTTTCATGCTGAAAAGGTGAACATAAAAATAATAAAAATACCAAAAATGAGGCAATGAGATTGATACGAAGACCTCGCTACATTAAGGATAAAGAATGTTATTTTCCCTCTTGCTTCCAGTCTTTTAGCAGTCCCTTGCTATGGAACGCAACTCCTCCCCTGTCCTTCATCCCCTCTTCAACTTACCAGGCTGCTTCCCAGACTGAGTGTTTGCCCCACAACAAATTGAAGGACAAATGTGAAACAGCATTCTGCTGCAAAAATTAAAATGAATACAAGTCAAGTCTGATTACATAGCAGCTCTCAGAACAAAACTGTATCCTTTATGTACCTCAGACAGCTTCAAAGACAGAGTGAGTCTTCGTTTAAAGTGCTTGGCTAAGGTCAATGTTGTTCTATGGGCAGCCCCTGGCACGTCCTGTTGACCAGTGCAATCATATACATTCAAGTCTAGCATTTACAAAAGTAATAATCTTAAGGTAAAATTTTAAGATCTCTCTGTATAAAACTCTATAAACACTTTTGCAAATAATCAACTGTTTCCATGTGACTTATTGAACACTGAAAAGTTCAAAGGTTTGTGACAGCTGCACATCCACAGCTCTAAAACGTGCTACAAGTGAAGATGCTGTTAGCATCTCTCTGAACTCCTTTTCTCTTATTTTTTACAGTGTGCACTCATCATACTGTCGTGTTTCAGACATCTGAACTTTCTAGCTTCTCCATCCCCTAAAACTGCTGCGGCTTTAGGAGCCCCAGTATAATCATTCAAATCCCAGACAAGCTTTGTACCTGCCAAAAGCACTGCTAGGAGAGGAACTAGACATGTTCTCTCTCAAGATTTAACTGAGCAGCTGTTTTTATTGTGTGAACTTTTAAAAATTTGCTTAGCCCTATTCAGTGTACTATCTATAGTCATTGACTCAAAGAACTTCTATGTGAAAAGGTAAATTTCAAGAGACAGATTAAATACAAGAAAACCAGGGATAAAGAAAAATTATTGAATGGAAAGTCTAGGGTAAAGTCAGATGACAAATACATAGCTTCAGCCTTTACATGTGGCAGACTTTTTTACTGATAATCATAATCAGCAGTAGGGGTATAGCAACTAATGCAGGGAAATATTTTGGCTCTATCATAAGGTAGCATACAGGAAGGTGAGTGAGATGTGAAAATGCTGGTTTAGGTGGTCCATAAATGGCCAAGCTCAAGTGCAGTTCCTGAACTACTCATTACTTTCACCTTGTGCAGCTTCTCCAAAAGGGAGAGCTATAGAGGACAGGAACTATTTTCCCACCTGAGCCCCTGGAAGACAGAAGGTGATCTTTTCTACTAGCAGAGCTTGGGAAGCATCTAATGGTACAGATAAATGCAGTAAGATTCACATCCTTTTCTACTTTTGAAGCCTGAGAAATGTGGATCTGTAATAGTTCTGACTTACACGTGGTAACTCATCTGCATGGTCAAGGTCCTTTGCAAATTCTCCATCAAGGCTAAGTTTCAATAGACTTTCCAGCACGGAACCAGATGGTAGGTAGTCTATCATTTCCCATCTATTATATGAATTGATTATGACAGTAAAATAGAGGGTTAATATTACAGATGTAAAACGAAAGACTACATTTTAGTTTTGCTGCCTCTAAACTGATTATCTGCTGCATGCTTTCACTTTCAAAGTTATGCATAAGAGTGACAGCAAAATGCCAAACATAAAATATTTATTAAATACTAGGAAAACAAAGCTGTAAGTGCCAAATCACTCTAGGATCTTTGGGAAAGTAATCATTGCTGATTAGCAGATAATAAATTTAACTCAGAAACAGACATCTTCAAATTAGATTTTGCATTATGTAAAATTGAAGTACCTAGTCCTAGGAACAGCCTTTTCCCTCAGGAAACAGCACTGGGGACCCATGTCCTCCACCCAGGCTCCAGCATCTCAAAAGGTGATCCATAAACCCACAGTAATACTGATAATTATTATATTACTTATATTATTCTAGTAATAATATTACTGGAAGAATGTTTGAGCAATATCCTTAAACTTTTATGAATACCTTTCAGGACTCTGAAATATCTTAAAATTCTGTGGAGAACTAGTGGTAGGAAGAAAATGAAGATTCTTCCTGATTTTTGTTTTGT